AGTGGGGGTGGGGTGGAGTCCGGGCGCCTGGGACGCCCCGTCCTGCACCGTGGCGTTGGAGGGAAGGTGTACATTTGGGAGAAAGCGCCCAGGCAGTGTCACTTTTATTAATGCGGCCCCGCACGAGCTCCTGTGAATATAATTTTCTTTACCGACCGACAGTCACCCTGCAGCACGTGGCCCCTGGATGGCGCGTGCAGGAGCTCTGACCCTTCAGACCGCCTCTCATGTCTCCCTGACCCGTCGGGCTGCGTCCAGAACGGCCCACCCTGGGAAAGCCTCCCGCGCCCCCACTAATCCAGGCGCCCCCCAAGGCAAGGCCGGCCTTGTTACACCTGGCCCTCCGCCCTCAGCAACTAGCAGGCCTTAGATGTTTGGCATCAAGTGAACTCATGAAGTGGGGAATCCTTTTGAGCCCAGTCTCCAGGACATCCCGGGAAGGTCCAGCCCCAGGAGTGAGGGAGAGCCCGGCCTCCCTGTCTCAGGCTGCTTCAGGCTCTCAACTTATCCACACGCTTTCTTGCTTCTCACCGGCGAGGTGCCTCACTGTTCCCACCAGGCTAGTGGCCAAATTTGGAGGTCTCCTGGGCATCTGTGGAGTGTGAATGAGTTTGTGCACCCATGCCCACGTCCATGCCCACCCCACACTCCGCCCTCTGAGTCTGACCGGTGGAGGGGCGAGGAGACTGGAGTGTGACTAGGAGGGCACCCTGTGGGGGCTGATGGTAGGGGATGCCCGGTGCCAGGCATCCTGGTTTGCTTCATGGGAGGCCCCAGGGGCTGTCCGGACAGCTTCCCCCTCCTGGGACTCAGCCCTGCACTCAGAGCCCAGCTGCTCCCAGTGGCCGGAGAGCCGGGGCACTGGTGTTTCAGGTTGGACTCCTGGCTCCACACTGTGGCAGGGCTCTCATTTCAGCTCCACTTTGAAGCCCTGTCTGCCATGGGCTTTCCCTTCCTCTCTGTGACCCACTGGGCAAGCTCAGTTTCTGGGGTTTCCCTCTTCTTTTTCCACAAGCTTGACTCTCCTGTGTCACAGCCCCGTGTGGCCTTACAGGCTGTGCTCTGCTCTGTCCCAGAGGCTGGCCTCCCAGACACCCAGGGGCCCCAAGAAATGACATTTGAGAAGCAAGAAAGTGTGTGGATAAGTTGAGAGCCTGAAGCAGCCTGAGACAGGGGAGGCCGGGCTCTCCCTCTCTCCTCGGGCTGGACCTTCCAGGGATGTCCTGGAGACTTGGCTCCGCTGGTCACAGCTCCTGCCCGCCAGCCCACTCCACACAGCCCTCTTTGTCCCCAGGTCTGTGATGGTTCCCTTCTCTCANGTCTCTCTCAAGGCCATGCAGCATGAGACAGGACAGCCGCCCCCCTCGTCTAGCAGCAAGCCTAGAGGAAGAGTGGAAGCTCCGGGTTCCCTCAGCTTCTCTTTCAGAGTCCCTGGTACCTGCCTGCTCTGAGGGCACCAGAGGAGGGCAGACAGACCCATGTCCACTGCCACCCTCAGTGCTTCTGTAGAGGGTCACCCTGTGGAGGGACTGAGCCCCCGAGAGCTGACTTACACTCTCCCAGGTGGGGACTTGGGACTAAGCACTGAAATCTTTCTCAGGTTCTAAAAATTCCCCGGTGGGCCTGCCGTTTGGAAGGAGGTGCGGGGCAGAAGTGCACAGGGAAGAGGAAGGACTGGGGGGCAGCTGGGGACCTAGAGAGTTTCAGCCTCTGGAACTGGGTGTCAAGCCTCAGCTGAGCGCTTCGCTGGGAAGGGGGCATTAACCGCAGGAAAGCTGCTCCCCTAGGGGTGTCCAGGCATCCCAGTTTCCTAGCACCCGGATGCCTGCGTCCAAGAGGGTTGAGTAACCCTCACCGAGAAGCACGGGGGTCCTGGGGACTCGTATTAGCCGGAGTGCGGCGGAAGAAAATTGGGTTGGGGAGTCACTTCCAGCTTCCTCTCCCAGGCCCCCAGCGCCAGCCCAGATGCCTAGAGGTTGGGATGGGCCGAGGGGCTGTGTCTCCACCTTCCTCTAGTCTGGGACGCCCGGCCGCCAGGGGGAAGGGCTGAGTCCAACGCAGGCGCAGCCGGAAAAGCGCAGGGCTCGGGGATCGGGATCCCCAGGGGCTCAGGGCAAAGGGCGTGGGGAGGGGTGGCCCTGGGAACTGGCACAGGAGTCCCCAGGGCTGGACGCAGCGCCCACCCACCTTGAGCGTAAGATCATAGCTCGGACTGCAGGGCGGGGAGAGCTCGGGGGCCTCGCTGTCCGGGGTGCCAGGGGTGCCAGCGGCGCCAGGCGTGCCCGCCATGTCCCTGGACGAGAGATGAGCTGGGACCCGGGGCGCGCGAGGGACAGAGCGGGGACAGCTCCGCCTTAGCTCCACCCACTCCTTCCATCCTTCACCGCCCCCGCCTGGACCCCAACAGGCTCCTCCCTCTGTCCTGCCCTCCCATCGACAGCTTAGGGTGCGGGCTGTCCCCCCAGGACGCGCAGGACCGCAGGGTCAGCGCCCCGAGGGGCAGGCGGGCCCCCTAAGCAACATCGACCTGGCCTCCTGCTCTGATAGCACGGGCCAAATCCATCCCTAAGACTGGTTCCCCAAAGTCGCCAGCCGTCGGGGTTAAGTTCCCACGAGTAGCGGTCCCTGGAGAGCCCGCCCGCTGCGGAAGGTCCGGGCTCGGAGGGACCCGCGCCCCGGAGCCTGGGTTTCCGCTGTG